GACTGAAAAAGCATGGGATAAAACCGGACTCTCTGAACATGGCGGACAATGAGGGCTGATGAGAAGGCAAGGACAATGGCATGGGGTTTTGTTCCTACTTCATGTTCTGGCTTTGTGGGAGCCTAGCCAGTTTGGATGATCACCTTCCTAGACCTGGATGGAGGGGAGAGGACCTTGGACTTTCCACAGGGCAGGGAACCCTGACTGCTCTTTGGACTGGAGAGGGAAGGGGAGAGAAGTGGGGGGAGGGGGAGAGGAGCGGGAGGAGGGGGAGGAAAATGGGAGGAGGCAGGAATTTTTTTTTAATAAAAAAAATAAAATAAAAAAAAGAAAAACAGACATAAAATAAAAATAGATATTTAAAAAGTTTTAAAAAGAGGCTGGAGAGATGGATCAGCAGTTAGGAGTACCACCTACTATTCCAGAACCCAGGTTCAGTTCCAGCATCCACATGGGGCTCAAAGCCATTTGCCACTCCAGTTCCTGGGGCTCTAACACCCGCTTTCTGGTCTCCTTGGGCACTAGGCACATATGTGGGGTACATCAGTGTAGGCAAACCATAAAATAAAAAGGTATTTTTTAAGAAAGAGAAACAAAAATTTGGCTGAATTTGGAAGGTATGCCATTTAGGAGGCAAAAACAAGCATATTGTTTGTTGGAAACCAGGATGAGCTATATAGCAAGACACTGTCTCAACAAAAACAAAACAAGTCAGGCGGTGGTGTACACACCTTAAATCCCAGCACTCCGGAGGCAGAGGCATGTGGATCTTTGTGAGTTCGAGGCCATCCTGGACTACAGAGACAGTTCCAGGACAGGCTCCAAAGCTACAGAGAAACCCTGTCTCAAAAAACAAAAACAAAACAACAAAAAACAATAAAATGCACATAATATAATATTCTAACATTCCTTATTGAAGGGCTAATTCTATAAATTAGGAAGCTATAAAGCACAGACCTGTACTACTGTAAGCACAGCAATTTGGGAGACTGAGGCAGGAGGATTGGGCTACATAGTGAAACTCTGTCTCAAAACAAAATTCTTGGCCTGGAACTGTAACTTAGCGGAAGTGTACTTGTCAGGAATGTACAAAACTCTGGGTTCTACTCAAAGCCTTGCTGAAAATTTCTTTTTGGATATCAGACAGTACTGAAAGAGTGATTTAGACTTAGGCCGCAAGCTCTCTGACAGACTGATTACCTCTTGTAAGGGGATGCCCAGTTCCTCTTTCAAGCGCCTCTGTGCGGCTCGTTTCACACCGATGGCGTTGTTTTCTTCAAGCTCCCCTGGATTATTTAAGGGATGACTACAGCAACTATTGGTGAAACAACCTGGAAAATAGTAATATGAACCAAGATGAACTTCTCTTCAAATTAGGTCTGATAAGTAGTCACATAAACAGTTTTAAGTCAGTTACAATGGGCTACCTAGATTATTTTCTTTGTTTGTTTGTTTTTCTTCTATATTATTTTCTAAAAGACAGTTATCGATAAGTTTTAATGCTTTCTTAAAACCAAGAAGATGAAAACATAGAGATAATTCAGATATTAAGGTTATACTCATTGGATAAGCTTATTAAAGTAAAATATAAATGAAGCCATTTACCAAGCTATTCCTTTTGGACCTTGGCACTAAGAAGTCCAATCAGATTAATATAGTTCCCAGTAGAATCTAGCTTGTGCATTGAATATACTGACCTGGAAAGGTAATTTTAGCATCTGATCTCTGCTGTAACAAGAGCTTATTTTCAGTATTAAATAAGAAGACACTAAAAGCTCGATGTAATAATCCTAAAAGCAAAAAGAAGTATGACTGGTTAGAAAATGCCCATTATTTGTCCAGTTTTCCCTCTTGCAGATGAGAATATGACTAGGAATTTGCTGACAGTTCTGTTATTAACAGGAATTTCTCTACAGCCGTTATGGAGAATAGTTCCAGCACACCAGTAAGACCTGGTCACCAAGTGAAAGGAATGGCAGTGGCGGCAGGTTTGAGGCAGGCCAAACGCTTTTGGTAATGGCTAACCCAGGTCATTTAGTTTCCTGCTGTGAGTGTGGTGTGGTGTGGTGTGGTGTGGTGTGTGTGTGTGTGTGTGTGTGTGTAGGTTCATGTTTCCCTTCAACATCTACTTCTCTCTCTAGTCTTCAGAAAAAGAGGCTTGAGTAGTCTGTTAATAGTCTATTTCTTCTCTATGTGCCCAGAATAATTCTCAAGCAGTTTAGTAAGATACACAAAGTGGAAAGAAATATTACAGGAGAGGTAGCAAGGCAGGTTTTATCACTACACTGCTTAGCTGGAATGAAATGTAAAGTATCATTAAGAAATGGATCTCTCAGCACTCGGGAGGCAGATTTCTGCAGAGTAGCCAGCCAGAGCTACACAGTGAGAACCTCCCCAGCCCCAAAGGGGAAAACATTCCTTTTATCCTAATATTTTTCTCAGCTAACTGGAAAAGTCTAGACAAATCACTTTATAAGAAAGACTATTTTAAAACAGTACCTTTGTCAATGTTTTCATTCAGGTGACAATTTTTCTTGGTGTCAGCCCCAATTTTATTGTCATTTTCATCAATAAGAATACACATCTCTGCCAGAAGTTGAACCTGTTTTTCATCGAGATGGCTGGTATTTATTTCAGGCATTGTGAGAGAATGTCCGATCTGACCTAAAACACTGACATTAAGAAAGATCATCATATTAGCGTTTTCTAAATGGCATATATGTAGTTAAGAATATCTAGAGTCGAGCTGAGGAACTAGTTCAGGCATTACGCTTACAATTATGCCTACTGTTCCCATCTGCCACCTCACCATTCCATCGTCCTTGGGCTTCTCCAAGGATACCACTGGCCAAACACTCGCCCCTACCTTGACTCTCATTTCTCCTACAATCACAACTAGCATTCTATGACAGTTGCTCTAACATGGCAACTCAGTGTTCTGTGCAAATTACTGAGCAGATGCCTTTTGGAGCATTGGAAAGTCAACTCTTCTCCCTTGGAGCATTTCTCTTTACATATTTTCCCATGTGTGATCTGGCTCCAACCTAACGTTTCGTTCTATTTTTCCATAACAGTCTCTGGATTCTTCATTATATGTTCCCACGGTCTGCCCAATTACTTTTGCCATTCACTTCCTCAATACAGCTGCTAAAGAACACTACACATCAATGTTCATTAAAATCCAGTTTTCAAATTCCAATTCACAATCCTATAGACAATGTCCCAGTAAGATTTTATCCAATTTTCAACCTGGGCTCATAGTTAAAAAATGCAACTATTTTGGCAGTTCTCCTAAGGCAATATATAGATGATATTTTTGATGAAGAGGCAAAAATTTTATTCACTATATTCAAGTGGATGCCTTAGAGTAGTTCCTGGCATTTAAAAAAAAAAAAAACGGTGAATTAATAGAGTGTCAATTCTGCCTTTCTAAGTGCAAGAACTAGGCAACGCCTAAACTAGACAATGTGAAATTAAGTGCAGCTATGTTCTAATTAGTCTTCAATTTATGGACACTAAAATCTAAGTCTCACTTAATCCCCATGTCACAAAATTTTTCTCCAGAAAAATATTTGTAACATATTAGGTTATAGTTCAAACATCCTGACCTTAGTGTAGACACTTAATTTTCTGAGCTCTAACTCCTTAAGTATTTTGGTATTTTAAATATTTCTGTATTTTAACATATTTTGCACCTCTCTATCCAGAAGTTTCTAATTTTTCTAATGTTTATAAGTGTACCTTACATATCTTCCCCAGTTTTTTTTTTTAAATAAGTTTTCCCACACTATTTTGAAGAGTCCATGTTCTCTAATTTCAAATATATAGATTACTGGAGTTGAAACATACCACTGAATGGCTACCTAATATAACTTTCTAAAACTAAATACAGTACAGAATAAACTAACTGGGGGAAAGGGGAATATCACTGATGACAATGAGGCTAAATATCAAATACTAAATAAACAGAAAGGAGGTTAATTATTACATTAAAAGGACAAGCACTGTAACAAGTAAAAATGGACTTGAACTCACAGGGTATATTTACGATGTTCATAGGCTAATTTAAAATCCTAAAGTAGATTTCATTCTTGTGGAATTACTAAACTTTTTGAACAACGTCTTTAACTCATAATGCCGGGATATTAAGAATCAACTCCATGATTACAGAATAAAATTATTCATTTAAAGATAAGAAAAATACACACCATCGAACTCAAGAAAAAGATAAAAACCCACATGGCTACTTACCAACTACAACACCTGCAAGTCCCTCAAATAGAAGAACACAGCTTAGGAATTGACCTATTTATTCAGTACTGGAAGAAGAGGGGTGAGGTGCTCCAAACTGAAGCAAAGACTACATTTTCTCAAGTTAAGTCAGCTCCCTTTTTCTAACTCAGCTTCCCAAGGGCTATGAACCGCAGTGTTTCTTGGACTATTGGATCGCTCCTCAGGGCATCTCCACGGAAAGCCGGTGGACCCACGCACTGCCACTGGGACACAATAGACCACCCATCCCCGCCCAAGTGGATCAAAGCCTAAACTGAGGCAACCGTACCAGGCGGCCAGAACTCAGGTCCACCACGGCGCAGAGGTGGGAAACCGAGTCACCTCAGCCTCATCCTGCCACCCAGCCCCTCCTGGTCCCCTCGCTCCATCCTTCACCGAAGTCACACTTACCAGAGATTGCAGCTAGACACGCTGTGAAGTCCTGTGCGCCTTATTTCAACGCTCTTCGCAGCAAGCCCCGCCTCCAGGCCCCGCCCCCTAAAGGCACGTCCAATCACTTGCGCCAGCACTCGTCCGCGCCACATAGCCTCAGCCAATTGCCACTAGTGTAAGCCTGACGTCCACGGCCGCGCCAGGCTTGCGCTCGGTGGCACCACCTCCCTGGCGCTTGGCTCCGAAAAACTCTCCGGAGGTTTCGAGAAGTGGCTGCGGAACTGGGCCGCGGTCGAGGGTGTAGGCGGTTCCTGGTGCACAGCTGGAACGTCCAGCACGCCTGGCTGCCTCGTGGAAGGAAAGCTTTTTTACCGGGAAGACGTCTTGAGGATGGTGCAACCCAATCGATTGCCAACCATTGGCACCGTCGATCATGCCCCGGGCTCGCCAATCAGCTGGCGGCAAGGTCAGGGCGTGTCCCAGACGCTGCTCGGGTGTGTGTGCGTGATGATGTCAGACGCCTTGAGACAGGAGCCCTGGCGGGTGCAGTTCTTTACACAGGAACGTCTCAGCTTTTCCTCCTTGTGAGAGGGAACCTTGGGGTCCTGCCCAATCCGATATTCTGTTTTTTAAAATCAGACCTAGAGGGCGGAATGAAACTCTAGTGGGACTTGATGAAAATTAATAAGAATCAAGAAATCATTGTTAATATGTTAGTTTGGAAGATTTACCCCTACCTCCCCAATATGCTTGCTATTCCAGAAAGAAAAGTTTGTACATTTGCAGCAGCAATAATTCCCAAGCTGCTTTGCAATGCGGAATAAATTGTTCAGCAAAGTTTGTACTGGATTAATTGATAGTCATTAAACTATCCTGTGACAATCCATTCTTAATAAATTTAGGAAAGCAAGGTCATATGTTCACAGTCTTTCACTACAGGTTATATGAGGTTTGTGTAAGTGTTTAATAATTATGAGATATGTAATTGGGAAAAAGTTCGTTTATTACATCAAATCATTTAATTTTTGTGTAGTGTATGTAATATGTTCAGGTACATGATGCCTTCCTCTCGCTTTTTTTTTTTTTGAGTAAACATTTTAAGAATTATAGATTTGTTTATTTTGTGTGAGTGTGTGGTGTACCACAATGTTCTGGGGGAGGTTAGAGGACAGCTAAGAGAGTCAGTTATTTTTCTCCTTTCACCACGCGGGTCCTTAGTAACAAGCTCAGGTCTTCATTCAGGCTTGGGGGGTAGATGCCTTGACCCACGGAGCCATCTCGCTAGCCCCTCCAATCTTATTTTTTTTATATTTATTTATTTATTATGTATACAATATTCTGTTTGTATGTCTGCCGACCAGAAGAGGGCACCAGACGTCACTACAAATGGTTGTGAGCCACCATGTGGTTGCTGGGAATGGAACTCAGGACCTTTGGAAGAGCAGGCAATGCTCTTAACCACTGAGCCATCTCTCCAGCCCCCAATCTTTTTTTTTTTTTAAGAGAGAATATCTCTTTGAAATTGGAGCTCATTGCCCGTTGAGATTGGATAGCTAGCCACTCCTCATGCTCTGCTTCGCCGTTTGGGATTATAGACACACTGATAATGCCTGGTTTTATGCATGGGTGCTGGGGATCTGAGCTCAATTTTTTAATGCTTTCACACTTTGCCCAACCCTCTTCCCGGCCCAATGCCAGTGGAATTTAATTATCTTGAATTTGCCAGCTAAGCAGTGCAAAGCACAGTTCTCAAACTTGTTGGTCTCTAGATACTCTGGACACAGAGCTGTATGTGTTGTATCCGCTAAAATATATGAAGAACGTTTTACGTGACAAACTATAGGATATAAGTACACTTCCAGGCCCAGTTTTTATGTGGATTCTGGGGATCCAGATTGAGATCCTTGTATTTGAATGGCAAGCATTTTACGACTGAGCCATTTTCCAGTCCTGGTTATTTTTTGATAAGCACACGTGCTGACTTTCCTTTTTTTTTTTTTTTTTTTTTTTGGTAATAGTTATTTCCCATTTTGAAATCTGGAACTCACTCTTTTCTCTTTCTTTCTTCTTTCTTTCTTTCTTTCTTTCTTTCTTTCTTTCTTTCTTTCTTTCTTTCTTTCTTTCTTTCTTTCTTTCTTTTTGAGGCAGGATCTCACTGTAGCTCTGACTGCCCTGGAACTCTGTAGATCAGACTGGCCAGAAACTTCCAGAGTTCACCTTCCTAGTGCTGGGATTACAGGCATTTACCACTAGACCTGGTTCAAGAATTTGAAATTTAAGAGAACATTTCATACTGATACTTTAGAATTCACTGATTTTAGTTGTAAACTTAAATACATATTTCCTATGCATGATTTCGTAATATGCATTGGTCGTTTGGAAAATTGGTTACTGAATTAAGCAAGTCTTCCAAATGTTGGTACATTTCATTATTTTTATTTCATTATACCATGCAATCACATTAATATCACCAATAATCTTTTTTTTTTCTTCACAAAACAACCAATTTTATTAAGCTTAACAGTTTCTCTGGTACAAAGAGAAATAGCAAAAGAAAACCTACGACATATGCACATGTAACCCCCCCCCCCCCAATAACCTAACAGAGTTAAGGACAAAGTTCTCTTCAACAGAGAAAGTTATCTTCGCTTCTGGAAGATGTTTCCATGCCCCATTCCAAGTCCTCGTCCTCTTGCAGCCACTTGGGCCTTCAGGATAGCAGCTTTCCCTCTGCCAGCTCCAGAGCCTTGGTTCTTAATTTTCATGCTCTTTAACATCAGTGCATTTTTCAGCATGTCAGGCAAAATCAGAAATCTGATCTTGCTGCCACAGATGTATACCAATAATCTTGAGACACATTAGGCACCTTTCTCTGTGGGTCTAGGACGGGAATGAAGCCTTGTTAAAACACGTCTAAATATTATTAAGTCACTGATAATGGCGATAATAAGCCATTTTTTTTACTGTAAATATTCCTTTTTATGTTTTTTCTTTTATATTAGCTGAAATGGGAAGTGAGGGTTGTTGCCTAATTAACAGATACCCCCTCTCTGGTGCTTAGAATTCTTTGAACAAAGGACTGCCAGTCAACTAGCCAAGTAGCCAGTCACTTTGACTACTCCATGGGCACTATGAGGAAGCTTCACAGCAGAAGCTGTGCACTGCTGAATTATTACTCCTGTAGCATGGCTCCTGTAGGCATTATTCCAGATACAGCTGTTTGAAATGGTTTAAGCAGAGTTTTTTTTTTTTTTTTTCTATCAGAAGACTCTGTGAACTAGACGACCTTGCAGCTTTTCCCATCAAGATGGGGAGGGAGGCACACTAGAGAAATGGCTTAGCCATGAAGAACTGGCTGCTCTTCCGCACTGGATCTGGATTCAGTTCCCAGCACCCACATGGCACATAACCATTTGTAACTGTAGTTCTGGGGACCTGACACGTAGGCGCCACTAACACCAGGCACACGTGTGATGCATATATATAAATGCAGGGAAACACTCTTTCATATAAAAGTTAAATTTTCTTTTAAAAGGGAGCATTTTCCCAAAAACCTAACATGACCTGTGACTGGAGTTTTTGAAGACAACAAGGTCTTGCTAAACTGAAAATATATAAGTAATCCAGATTAGCCTTGTACTAATGGTGCTTTCTCTATTGCAAGGACAGTCAGTGCCTGAAATATCATGTAGTCTCAGGCTCGCTTTGAACTAGTAGTGTTGAGCAAAGTGTCTGAAATGTGCTGTAGCCCTAGGCTGATCTTGAAATTACAACCTTTGTACCTGGGCTCCCTAACTGCTGTGGTTTCAGGCTTGCGTCACTATGCCTAGCTTGAAATATTTTAATGTGCCATGCTTGTTTTTATTTGAACAGAACACCACTAGAAAAGGAGAAAAGGGTTGTAAAGACAGAAGGGAAGTAAAAGTTTCCATGAACAGATAGGTCCTTTAGCTGTGTGTTGTTTTTGAAGGTTGGAAGAGAAGAAAGATATTGCTAGCCTCTAATATTTCAGGGAAACTCAGCAATAGTTCCTAACTTTTAACTGGATTACTAGCCTTTGAGTTTTTCAGTACTTCATGGCTACAGTCTCCTTCCTGGGAATTCTTCAGCTTTTCAGATACTTAGCCTAGACTCAGTTGGTAGATGCCCTCTGTTTTAACTAAACTTTCCAGAGGACTAATTTGGAAAGTCTTGCCCTCTTTTTGAATTGGCCGTTGTTATGGATTGCTCGATTTAGACTCATATATCTACCTTTGTATCTGAATCCTTTTCTGGTCCAACCAACAGTACCAAGAATGTGAGTACAAGGTTCAAAACATAAACCGAGATGAACAATATAGGAATTTAGAAATTAAATAATTGCTTTTTTCCTAATTACATATGATTGCATTGTACATATTGAACCTTTGGCATGATTTCAGAGGTTTTCTTCAACTATTACATTATTACATTGTTAAGTAGTTTTGCAAGCAGTTTTGTGTATTTTAAGTATTATGATGAGGCAAGAAACAAAGTGGTAGAATAATTCAAGCAATAAACTGAATTTTTAAAATCTTAAGAAATAAACAAAAAAAGAAAGAAACATAAATATATGGAAATTCTTTTTTCTTATTGCTCATGGCTTGGATAGAAAATGTCCCTCAAAGGTCATGTGTTGAAGGCTTGGTCCCCAGTGTAGCAACACAGCAGGACTCAGAGGTTGAGCCTGGGGTCATGAGGTCATAACCATTATGATTTTATCAGTGGATTAACCCCCTTAGTTCACTGACAACTGAAGGAATATGTTAGGAGATAATAGAAATTTTCAGACTAGAGCGTAGTTGGAGGAACTAGGCCACTGGGAACACATTCCCAAAGATCTTTCTTCTGCCCGTGGTCTTCCTGGTTTCAGTAAGGTGATCAGTTTTCCTCTCATGCCATTTCCATCATGATGAGTGCCTTTCTGTCCCCACAGGCTCGAGTCAATACAGCCTTATGGACTGAAACTTATGAAATGATCAACTAAAAGTAATACTTCATCTTCTGTTTACTCAGGTATATGATCACAGCAATGGAAAGCTAATTAGCACACTCAGTTTGAGAAATATTCAACGAGTAGAGTCCGAGGAGCTGGACCCATGGTTGAAGATCATGCCTGAGACCTCATGCATGTCAGGTGAGCATGTATCACTGGACTACATATCCAGCTCTTTATTTCCACTTTTATAAACTTTGAGACAGGTTCTCACGTACTCAGGCTTGCCTTCAACTCACTGTATAGCTCAGACATGTAGGGAACCTGGGATCCTCCCATCTCAAGTTTCTGAGTAGTGTGGCTACAGACCTGAGCCACCGGGATGGTTGATTCTCTTTGAATATTTGGAATCCTTTAGGAAGAGGGGAAAAACCACGCAGTGTGTGTGTGTGTGTGTGTGTGTGTGTGTGTGTGTGTGTGTGAGAGAGAGAGAGAGAGAGAGAGAGAGAGAGAGAGAGAGAGAGAGAGAGAGAG